GGGCCGCCCCTACTGCCGCCGGGACTTCCTGCAGCTGTTCGCGCCGCGCTGCCAGGGCTGCCAAGGCCCCATTCTGGATAACTACATTTCAGCGCTCAGCGCGCTTTGGCACCCTGACTGCTTCGTCTGCAGGGTGCGGTGATGTGGGACCCGATTTTGCAGGGAAGGGTCAGCGGGAGGCAGGACTAGGAGGGCGGAGAGGGCGAGGCTTAGCAGGGGGTCACGGGTGAGTTATTCCAGTACTAACTAGTTATCTGGTCCGGGCTTTGGCTGCTGACTCATTCTTTCGCGGCCTTCCTTCCCTAGGAATGCTTCGCGCCCTTCTCCGGAGGCAGCTTTTTCGAGCACGAGGGCCGTCCGCTATGCGAAAACCATTTCCATGCGCGGCGCGGCTCGCTGTGCGCCACGTGTGGCCTCCCAGTGACTGGCCGCTGCGTCTCGGCCCTGGGCCGCCGCTTTCACCCGGATCACTTCACTTGCACCTTCTGCCTGCGCCCCCTCACCAAGGGCTCCTTCCAGGAGCGCGCCGGCAAGCCTTACTGCCAGCCCTGCTTCCTTAAGCTCTTCGGTTGATCCGCAGAGCTTCCCGTTCGTGAGGCCGTGCTCCCGCAAAGAAAAAGAGCGAGTCCTCCAGACCCCAAGGTCTTGCTTTCTGAACTTACGGCTGTTCCCAACTCCCGCTCTTTGTAGCCCCACCTGCTGAAGAGAGCCGTCCCTAAAGTACACTACGTCCCCCGGTGGCCAAGTTCAGAAAAGGCCCCACCCATCCTAACCCACACGCCCAAAGAGGATCTTAGGCTGAAGAGAGATCCCGAGTGAGTCCTTCACTCTATTCCCACCCTTGAAACAGCCCCCTGACTGGAGGAAGCATCCTTGCAATTCCGACCAATCAGAGGCCAGATCAGGACATCCCTGCTTCCCGCTCCCTCACCATTCTGTGCACTTTTTTTCTACGTACATAAATACACATTCCACGTCTCATTGGTGCTGTGTCTCTGCGCCGAAGAACCTTGCCATCGAAGTCCCCGCCCCTTGTGCGGATCGGTCGGGAGTTAAGTTCTAGGCCGCAACCCTGTGGCCAGAGCAGGAACTACAGCCTCAGATCTTAGCTTGGGTATTTCAAATTATCAGTTGAGCCCCAGGCTGAAAAGGCCAGCCACCTGCTTAGGATTGTACAGATAGTGGCAGAACCAGGACAGCAGCCTGGGGCCCTATTGAATCTTCTACCCTCATTCCTCCTTTCCTCAGCTTCCTCTATCCTTGAAATAAGGAAATTGCTGTTCTTTCTTTGCTTTCCAGATTTTATCCCCTTAAAGTAACCTCAGAGATTGTGCTCCTTCCATAAGTGCCAAGTTATATCCACCGTTTGGATCGGTGCTCTTTGCCTCTTACTAGTATTAACTCCCCCCACCCCCATATGTTCTACCCCCTGTAGGTGTCATGTAGACATGGCAGGGAAGTCAGCACGTTCAGACTCATTATTTTCTTCCCCTGCTGGTTCATCAGTAACTCCATCAGGCATGCTGGGTGGTGCTGAGTACACAGAGATAAGTCATGCCTAGGCAGAACTTCCCAGGCTGGTGGAAGAGATGGATGACACGTGGTGTGGCCAGGAGAGTGACTGAGGGAAGCTCTGGGGGCTGTGGGAGATGGAAGGAGGCTTCTAAATGAGACCAGGAGTCAATGAGGGCTTCCTGGAGGAAGTGATACCTGAGATAAGTCAGAGCAGAAAAGGGTGGGATCAGGGGTTTTCAGGTCTGGAGGAGTTCTGACTCCACGGAAGTCCCCAAATCCCAGAGACCTTTATGAGTCTTAGAACCTTTACCTAGGATCCTGCAGTTCCTTAGGGAGGGCACCTAGACCCCTAGGAATACATGCTGGCCTCTGGCAGATCTTCTGATCTTTTCTTTTCCAAGTCTTCCTGGTTCTTCCCAGTTCTGCTTTTTCCCTACCACATATCCTCCCTGGGGAATGCTGTCCATTCTCTAGTGTCAATTACCTCGCTCTCTTGAGGATGCCCAAATTGGCCATCTCCAGTCTTGATTCATTAATCCACCAAATTTTTACTGAGTCCTTACTGGGCCAGACTTGGGTGGGGGTGAGGGAAAATGGGTAACCCAGCAGATGTGGCTTCTTCTCTTCAGGGAATGAAAATGTAGTAGGGAAGACAGCTGACAAACAAGTACATGAGTGACAAGTGTAATGAAGGAAAAGGACCTTCCCTGTCAGCTCTTCCCCAGTTTCCATCTCATGGCACCTCCCTAGCTTCCTCATAGCACTTATCATTTGTGAATAGGTGTTTGTTACTTGTTTTTGTCTGCTTCTGAATCTGGAACGAAAGCTCCTGAGAGCAGGCAACCTGTTTGTTTGGCTGACCATTGTTTCTCCAGTGTCTGGGATGGTGTCTAGTATATAATGAGTGCTCAATAAATGTTTGTCAAGGAAGGAAGGAACAGGGAAGAAAGGAAAGGAGGGAGAGTGAAAAGGGAAAAAAGAGAACTAAGAGGAGGTGGGGAAAGAGCCAGGGAGTTGGAGAAAACCTCTGTGAAATGTAATGTCTAGGCTGAGACTTGAAGATTGAGAAGATGCCAGCCAAGCAAAGAGCCTAAGAACATGCACTCAAGGCAGAAGAAACAGCAAATGCAAAGGCCAGGGGGTAGGAAAGAGCTTGGCATATTGGAAGAAAGGAAATAAAGCCAGTGTGTCTGGGTTAGAGTGAGCTATGCCAAGAGTAGCAGGAGATGAGATCAAAGAGAAAATAGATGTTATGTCATGAAGGGCCTCGTAGGCCCTTGTTTAAGGAATATGTCATTGTTATTGTTTAAGGAATATGTCATTATTCCTTAAACAATAAGGTACAACAACTATGTATACAGCATTTACATTGCATTAGGTGTTACAATCTAGAGGTGATTTAAAGTATATGGGAGGATGTGAGTAGGTTATATGCAAATATTATGCCATTTAATCCAAGGGAGTTGATTGTCTCTAGTTTTTAGCATCTTCAGGGGCCTCCTGAAACCAATTCCACACAAATACCAAGAGATGAGTGTACATCAAATATTAGATAAGCCACAAGCTGGAAAGCTGGTGACCTCTGCAAGACTATACAGATAGTGGTGAAGCCAGGACAGGAGCTCAAGCTGGGGCCCCAGTTGTAAAGTAACACACACACACACACACACACACACACACACACACACACACACAGAGAGAGAGAGAGAGAGAGAGAGAGAGAGAAGCAAGCAAGGTGCAGGGGTAAAGTTAAAGGGCTGCTCCTCTGAGCTGCCAGCTTTATATATATATCCATAGGTTATATTAGGTCATTGACGTCATTAGTACATATTGCTCATTGTATAAAGTTACTGTTCTGTGGGCAGGTTTAGGTGCAGTGACACATTGGTTTTGTCTAAGAGAGTTCCTTTATTCCCAGAAGCTGAGTGTTTGGGATTAAGGTTGAGACTGATAAGACTAGTCCAGAGCCTCCTCCCAAAGGACATTACCACAGCAGTTAGGCACTGAGCATGTATTAGTCATCTTACTAGTTCCAGGGAGAAACTGTAGAATATCCAAATCAGAGCACCTGTTACCCTCCAGGAGATTTCTCACCAGAGGAATGCTGCCTTGTACATATCCACAGCCAAATTCCTTACACCCAGTGAATCTTCCCACCTCCATTCCTCCCTCTTCAGCTCCCCATATCTTGAAGTAAGTGTGATTTGCTCCCCATTCTCTGCCTATTTTGGTTTCAGACTTTTCTCATCTGAGGGATTTATTTTGAAGGAAACCATATTAAAGCACTTCTTAAGCAAATTCATCATGTTCCCTAAAATATTTTTCTCTGTTTCCAATAGCAAGGGTGATTGTAGTTGCCATAATCAGATAGGAGTCCCCCGCCACCATTTCCTGACTTCCAAGTCTGGTCAGTCCTAGAAAGGCAGATGTGCAAATAATCACCATCTTTTCTTACATCTGGTCCTATGCTGAGCAATGGGAGTCTAGGGATGAATTGGATCAGTCCCTGCTCTTGAGGAGTCTCTAGTTTGTTGGGGAGACAGACCCAGACAAGGGTCACACAATGTGCTCAGAACTCTATCAGAAAAATCAGAGAAGTCTTTATAGACTTCTATATAGGTGTCATAGACTAGATACTGAGCGCTGAAGAAGAGCTGGCCATTTGGGAAGCAGGGAGGTGCTCTAAGTAGAAGGCACAGCAAAATTAGAGGGGCATGAAAATTTCCAGTTCAGGAATAAAAAGAGAAAAAAAAAAGATAAAAGAAAGTCTGGGTTGGATAGGGCAAGAAAGTGGTAAGGAAATTGTGACTTCATTCTAGTTTTGGTATGGAGAAGCTAAGGGGCTAGGCAGGAATCAGGGCTTGGCAGACCTGGAAAATTGAGCCAAGGAGCTTGTACTTCTCCTGAGTGTCTTGGGGAGCTATGGAGGATTTCTTAGCAGGGGAGTGATCCTAACAGATTTGGGTTAAAAATAATCTCTCACCAGGCATGGTGGTGCAGCTCTGTAGGCCGAGGCAGGAGGATTGCTAGCTTGAGGCCAGCTTCAGCAATTTAGCAAGTCCCTAAGCAACTTAGGGAGACCCTATCTCAAAAAAATTTTTAGGGCTGGGGATGTGGCTCAGTGGTAAAGCACCCCCGGGTTCAATCCTTGGTAATCCCCACCACCCCAAATCTCTCTGAATTAACAGAACCTGGATCAGCAAGTTTTCCTAGGCTGAAGGGGATAACATTTTTAGGGGGTGAATGAGGTTACTTTGAGCCTGGGACACTGAGGAGGGGGTGGAGGCTAAGGCCCAGAGAGGAGTGTTTCTGAACTTGAAAGGGCTCAGCTCCCCAGGACCAGCCTTCGGCCTTGATATGGCCTGATTCAGCTAAATAAATCTGCAGAGGGGGGACAAGACCTAGGAGACTTGTCGGCTCATTGCCCCTGAGGTAACCATTAATCCCTCCCCGAGGGGAATCCAGATACTGGTCCCTTGAGGAGCAGATCCTGGGCAGAATGGAGGAATATATAGAAGCAGGCTCTGAACAAGGACTAGGGGACCAGAGGGTCCTAATCGACAATCCTGCTGACATCTTGGTCATTGCCGCTTATTTCTTGCTGGTCATTGGTGTTGGCTTGTGGGTGAGAAGTTGAAGGGGTATTGGGTTTCTGGGGCCTGGGGGAAAGGTCTTATTGGATACCCTGAATAGGTGTGGGGGAAGGATGCCTGGATCTTTGAGGGAGAAACGCAGGGTTGGGAAGGCAATCAAATCTTTTGAAAGTCTCAGTGATGCCTAGCCAACATTAACTCCTTGTCTTTCAATCTTCGGATTGTGCTAGATGAGGGGGGATCAATGGATTTTCATTAAGTTTAGCACTCTGAGGCCTCTGTTCCTTTGTCTACATTATGGCTGACTATCAGCCTACATCCCAGGTCCTCAGAAAAGTCAGGTTAAAGAATCCAGCCACACTCAGGCTTGAGTAGTTGGACACCAGGATTGGGGCCTGGGTCACTCTGGATGCCTGGGAGAAGGTTGGGGGTGGGGGTATGAACAAACAGGGGAGCCGAGTGCTGGTTAATCTTCAGCCTGGAACAAGGCTGAGGAATGTGTTGAGGAGGCTAATGAAGTCCAAAGATGTGCTCTGAACCCAGGTTTTCCCCATTTTTGTCCCCCAGTCTATGTGCAGAACCAACAGGGGCACCATTGGTGGCTACTTCTTGGCAGGACGAAGCATGATTTGGTGGCCGGTGAGTGCGGCTCAGCCATGGGATGGGGAGGAGGGACTCTAGAGAAGCCGCCTGGTTCATCCCCATTTCTGGTCACCAAGGTTGGAGCCTCTCTCTTCGCCAGCAACATCGGCAGTGGCCACTTTGTGGGCCTGGCAGGGACTGGTGCTGCAAGCGGCTTGGCTGTGGCTGGATTTGAGTGGAACGTGAGTTTTCATTTTCCACAATAACCCCATCCCAGCAGGAACCCCTAGAAGGGTCCTTGGGGAAGCTCCTGGTAGGGGGGCATATGAGACTGGGGTGGGATATCCAGTCACGGATATCTGACTTTCTATATATGAGCAGGTACCAGCCTCTACCCTCTCTGGGTGTTGATGCACTGCTCTCTGAAGTGGCCCAAGCAGCTCAGAGGCAGAGAGGCACATGTTCTGAAGCTGGGCTCTGTGAGGATCTCTGGTTCAAATTAAAGCCCTTTGTTGAAGTTGATGAAGAGACAAAGCTCTGGGACTAGGGCTGACCTTAGAGGATTGGGGGAAATCAAGGCTTTGAACTCAGGGCTTCCTCCCTCTGAGCTGAGGCTGGACAGACAAAAAGTTTGAGTGGGTGAAGAAGAGAGGAGAGACAGCTATGCCTGACAGATGCTGAGGTCAGTCTGCAGGTTCTGTGCTTGGGTTCATATGCTTGAGAAGGCATGGAGGAACATAAGGATCCTCCTGGGAGGGACTGATGGGGCATGGGGTGGAGGGGGGTGGTGGTGGTAGCCTGAGAGGGACTAAAGGGCTCTAGTTAAGGATCCAGTAGGGTGTCAAGATTCCTTTCCTTAATGCCTAGGGTCGAAGGTCATCTTTTGCAGTTGTGCTCTGGGCCCCAGGTGCAGACCTTCCTGGGACCTTCTTGTTCTGGAAGAGAAGGTCTCTCAGGTCCTTTAGGGGCGAGGCGAGACTCATGACAGGATGCTAGACATGGAGTCACCCTTAACTGTCACGCTGCACCCACAGGCGCTGTTCGTGGTGCTGCTGCTCGGCTGGGTCTTCGCTCCTGTGTACCTGACCGCAGGTGTCATTACGATGCCGCAGTATCTGCGCAAGCGCTTCGGTGGCCATCGTATCCGCCTCTACCTGTCTGTGCTGTCACTATTTCTGTACATCTTCACCAAGATTTCGGTGCGCATGCGCAGCGGGCAGTACTAGCTCCTAGAAGGGCGGGGCCACCTAGTGGAGGTCTTTACAGATCACAGGAGGGTGCGGGACCTAGGAGAGATGTTTTTTTTAAGAATCATGATAGGGGCGGGGTCTGAAAGGAATAGGTTTCAGGGGCTGTGACCACATTGGGTAGGACCTGAGAAGGCCGGGGCTTTGAAAAAAGAGGGAACCTTTAAGGTTTGGCCACATAAAATTGTGGTCTGGGCAGGAGGTGAACTTGGTCATTGCCCTTGCCCCTGGGTCCTGACCTGTATGCTTGCTCTTCTTCCCCAAGGTGGACATGTTCTCCGGTGCAGTATTCATTCAGCAAGCTCTGGGCTGGAACATCTATGCTTCTGTCATTGCCCTCTTGGGTATCACCATGATATACACTGTGACAGGTAGTTACATCAAGGCCTTAGGTGGAGTGGGCATGGGGTTGGGAGTTGGCTTTAAAATGTGCTGGGGACTGTGATTGGGGTTTAGGAAAGCCATTAGAGGAAAGTGGGACAAAGAGGTTTGGAATGTGATATGGTCCAGTCAGAAGGAACTAACTCTTTGGAAAACAAGCTCATATTCTGTCCCTTCTGTCCCTTGGATTTGGCCTGGAGGTTTGGGTGCCTAGTTGGTGCTGGGCTTAAGAGTGGGGACTGAGGATAAGTGAAAATTTTGCAGCTCTTGCTCTTCTTGAATAGACATAGTGGCTTGGCTATTCTCTAATACCTCTAGCAAAACTCAGTGCTGTTCTGAGGATCCCAGGGTGGAGACCAAGGTCAGAAACAGAATAAAGTAGGTGGTGTCTGGTGTTAAGGCAGGCTTGTCAGGCAGTCTCTGGGGATGGGATGGAACAGAATTAGACCTTAGAGAACCACCCCCTTTTATTACCTAAACAAGAAAACATCCAAGAGGGATCTATAGCTGGGATACTGCATGTGGGTGCTTTTCTAAGAAGTGCATCAGTGGGCCCTAAAACTCAGCCACCCTCTGCTTGGTCCAAGCCCTGCTTCTCTGTACTCTAGTGCATGAGCCTGGAGAATGGGCCATCATTTTGAGATATATTCTTCAGAGAGGGGTTCCTTGTCAAATTCTCAAAAAGACATCGTATATGCTAGGGATCAGGAGCTGGGCAGTCTCCACTAATTCAGGCCTGTTGCAGGAGGACTGGCAGCACTAATGTACACGGATACTGTGCAGACCTTCGTCATTCTGGGGGGTGCCATCGTTCTCTCAGGTTACGGTATGGGGCTCAGCCAATGGGGGAGGGGCATGGAGATCTCAACCCAGAATCAGGGACAGGATATTGCAAGTCACTAGTATGTGGGTCCTAAGGACGGTATTCGTATTGGTGTTAGTCCCCTGATGGCCTTGTCTGCACAGCTTTCCACGAGGTGGGTGGCTATTCAGGGCTCTTCGACAAATACCTGGGAGCAATGACTTCGTTGACGGTGTCCAAGGATCCGGCTGTGGGCAACATCTCCAGCTCCTGCTATCAGCCACGGCCCGACTCTTACCACCTGCTCCGGGACCCTGTGACAGGGGACTTGCCTTGGCCTGCACTGCTCGTTGGGCTTACCATCGTCTCAGGCTGGTACTGGTGCAGTGACCAGGTGTGAGGTCAGGGCATGGACCAAAGTGGATTTGGGGTAGAATCCTAAATGCCTGAGCAGAGCTGAGATGGGTGGTGCCTGACCCCATGCCCTCATACCTCACCTCTGCCCCTGGAATTATGTAGAAGGCATGGTTTGATGGGGGTGAGAGCCATGCCCTGGTGGAGCTAAGACAGAACCAGGTGGCAGGATCTGAAGATGGAAACCTACAAGGGGCATCTCAGAACCAGAAGCAGGGTGCAAATTAGAGCTGGGAGGGGGTGGCAAGGCCTGAGGGGTGGGGTGTGGGGACAGTACATGGTAGTTGAATGCACCTCTCATAGGTCATAGTGCAGCGCTGTTTGGCTGGAAAGAACCTGACCCACATCAAGGCGGGCTGCATCTTATGCGGCTACCTGAAGCTTTTGCCCATGTTTCTCATGGTCATGCCAGGCATGATCAGTCGCATTCTTTACCCAGGTAATATCTGCATTCTTGTCCTGCCCAACAGTCTGTGCCCCATCCAGCTCCCTTCTTATGCAAGGATTCAAGTGCCTATGTCCTATTTCTTGCTACTTTTTTAAATTTTGGGAATCCAGTATCCCAGTCCCACCTTCCACCAGGGACCCCATCTCTCTCCTCTGCTGGTATTCCCAGTATCTACTAGGGAGGCAGATTCTCTGTCCTAGCCTGTTGTGACTTCTTTTTGCAGATGAAGTAGCCTGTGTGGTACCGGAGGTGTGTAAACGCATATGTGGGACTGAGGTGGGCTGCTCCAACATCGCCTACCCACGGCTTGTTGTGAAACTCATGCCCAATGGTGAGGACAGGTACCTGGGATGCTGCCTGCCCACATGTGCAGGGAGGCCAGGAGACTGCCAATGTAAAGGGTCACTCCTTGCCAAGCCTGCACCCACCTTGCGACACCCTGGAAGCCCTGTCCTCACAGCTCCTGTTGATGCACAGGTCTTCGTGGACTTATGTTGGCTGTCATGCTGGCCGCACTCATGTCCTCGCTGGCGTCAATCTTTAACAGCAGCAGCACACTTTTCACCATGGACATCTATACACGCTTGCGGCCTCGAGCAGGCGAAGGGGAGTTGCTGATAGTTGGACGGTGCGGCCTAGGTTCCCTCTACCCTCCCCCAACTCCTGCCCCACAAATGAGCCTGGGGTGGGGGCATAAAGCACCTGCAAGGTTATGGGAGACAGGAGGGAACTGGGTAAAAATCTTTTGATGGCTCCCAACTGCAGGATCTGGGTAGTGTTCATTGTGGCAGTGTCAGTGGCCTGGCTACCAGTAGTGCAGGCAGCACAGGGCGGGCAGCTCTTCGATTATATCCAGTCAGTCTCCAGCTACTTGGCACCACCTGTATCTGCAGTCTTTGTGCTTGCCCTCTTTGTGCCCCGTGTTAATGAGAAGGTAAGCAGTGTACTTGTGAATGTGGGGCAGGGCTTGGGCATCCTGAGCAGGCTAATGATGTTTCTTCCACAGGGTGCCTTCTGGGGACTGATTGGAGGCCTGCTGATGGGCCTGGCACGCCTTATTCCTGAGTTCTCCTTTGGGTCTGGCAGCTGTGTGAGACCCTCAGCATGCCCAGCACTCATTTGCCGGGTGCACTACCTGTACTTTGCCATCATGCTCTTCGTCTGCTCTGGCCTCCTCATTCTCATAGTCTCCCTGTGCACTGAGCCTATTCCTCAAAAGCATGTAAGTGTTGGCCTCTGGACAAGCTGGGTGACCAGACTTGCACTGTCTGAGCCAGAACCATCTTCATCCCCATCTGTTAGTCTGATTCAAGAAATACCCAGTGGGGGAGGACCTGAATTTCTATGCTAAGGATTAGTAGGAGCTGGCTGGGAGACCAGTTTGAAGTTGCATTTATAGAGCAAGCACATTTTTATTTAAATGATATTTATTTGAAGTAATGGGGGGAGGGTGAGCTGAACATTTTCGAGGGTTGGCAATTAAAGTTTCCCAAAGCCAATTCTGGGTATGGCCTTTGGAACTCAAATGCAGAATACAACTAGTAGCTGAGAGGGACAGAGTATCATCTTGTAAGAGTTTGGTCTTATGCTGAACCAAGGCAGGTACTCCAGAGCAGGGCTGATTGAGGCAGGCAAGACAAAAGGGCTGGGCCTGCAAGGACGGGAAAGTTTCCTCAGCAGCAGGAAAACTGTGAGCAAATGCCCATAGGAAAGGAACACTGTGAACAGAACTATAAGACCAGTCTATAGTACTACAGTTCTGGGTGGGTACAGGAGACTTGGCGTGTAGAAGCAGGGGGTGAGCAAGGTCAATGGTTTTAAGTACCTCGCTGAGCAGCTTAGGGTTTGAGTGAGCTAAGCCTGGGTTAGATATGTAGACTGGACAAGGGTATGTGAGGGAGGGCAGTGACAAGGCTGGTATGCCACTGTAGGCAAGAGGCCTTAGGGACAGAAGTGGGAGAATGAAACTCCCACTTGGTCTCTGTTCCCACCCCTTCCCAGCTTCATCGCCTGGTTTTCAGTCTCCGGCACAGCAAGGAGGAACGAGAGGACCTGGATGCTGATGAGCTAGAAGGTCCAACCTCTCCGCCTGTACAGAATGGGTGTCCAGAGCATGCAGTGGAGATGGAGGGTAAGTCATTGCCTAGGGAGGTGGGCCCTGGGAACTTGGGGGGCGAATTTCCTTCAAACTAACCGTAGTACCTCAATTTCTCTTAGAACCTCAGTCCGTGGCACCAGGTTTATTCCGCCAGTGCCTGCTCTGGTTCTGTGGAATGAGTAGGGGTCGTGCAGGTGGTCCTCCACCCCCTACCCAGGAGGAAGTGGCTGCAGCAGCCAGGCAGCTGGAGGATATCAGTGAGGACCCAAGTTGGGCTCGTGTAGTCAACCTCAATGCCCTTCTTATGATGACTGTGGCCACATTCTTCTGGGGTTTTTATGCATAACATCAAATGTGTTGGATACCATGAGCCATAACTAGGGTAGGGCTCATCCTCACAATAACTGGGGATGGAGAACCTATAGTAGTTCCCAGGGAAGGGAGGAGAAGGGGCAAAAGTAGAATGGGAAGGTCTTCGTTCTTCCTGCCTTATCTCTGCCTGGGGTCCAGTCCATCTGATTGGCAGTCACTTCCTATGAGGCCTTGGCCAACCTGCCATATCAATTCACCTAAAGCAAAAATAAAGTTGCCTTTCCTATGTCCTGTTGTGGTCTAAGTGTCCTTGCTCCATGCTCCTGTCCTGGGCCCTGGGCCTTCATCTGGACTGCTCACAAGACCTTCTTTTCTGGAGACAGGAACCACGTGGCCCTCCACTCATCCACCTCTAGCTGGTGCTTCTCAGTCTTCCAGCCAGCTGTCTGTAATCCTGGGGAAAGGTCACAGGATGATGCTACGAATGGTGGGAGGAGAATCTGGGCTGACCCTTGGAAGGTGGGTAAGGAGAGGCACAGCCAGATGCAGACTCTATGCACTACTTGGGCTCCTCTGCTGGGGGAGGTTGAAATGAGGCTGAAACCTTATCTGGTTGCAGCAGAATTCAGAGACAGCACATGGAAAAGGGGCAGGATGGAGTAAGTACTGGATAAAAGGACATCATAAGTAAAGGTGAGCCCTCTTCTCTCCCCCCCCCCTTCCTAAATTCCAACTGGGATTACACAGACATTCAATATCAACACAGCCTCAGAGACATCCTAACTTCCTTATCTTATCTTATCGATAGGGAAACTGATTCCCATACTTAAGGTTACAGAGAGAAGTCAGGTCTTTTATGTCCCAGGTAAAAAGCATGGGGTAAGGATAGGCAAGCACCACAGGAGAGGGCTTTAGGGTCTAAGAAGCCACAGGGTCAATGTTACCTTTCAAGAACTTTGGGAACAGCTTGTTCAACACTTGATGTGTCTTTCTGATGATGACCCAGCTATCTTTCTCAGCACCTGGGGTGGGATGCAGAACCAGCTCTCATACCTTACCAGGACAGATGTTCCACCCCTCTGAGTCATCAGTAGTCTAGACCATGAGGTGCTTACCTGCCCGCACTCGGTTTCTTAGCTCTTCCAGTTCTTCAGGAAGTGGTCCATCTTCTTGAAGGGCTCCAAGTACCAGCCCGTGTGTGGCAGCCCTTAGGATTGTCTCAGGGCCTGCCATCTGGCTCAGAACTACCTGTACTTGGTCTGGAGAGACCCAGGGGAAAGATGGGTATTAGGGAAGGGCCACTGACCCAAAAGTCCTTAACCCTACACCACTTATGCTTCACCTGTGTTCCTCCAGAGGCCTTAACCAAATATGGAAGGCTCTCTTCCCACCCTTTCCCAATCTGACTACATCTCCTGTTGCTTCCCAGTGGTCAAACTGAAATGCTCAATTCACAATGCAATTTCACAGCAGCCCACTGAAGTGGGTTTATTTTGCTAGTGAGGATTAACACCTTTTAACACACATATCAACATATCAGCAATCTCGAGGACTTGTTTCTCCAAGAGGTGACTCAGGATGGGAGAGAAGAATGATTCCCCAGAGATAGCCAAAGATCATAAACTTATTTGAGTGTGTTTATGTCATCACCTTATTTGACTTTCAGAAAAATGCTAAAGGTAATAAGGCAACTACTATGGCTCCATTTTACAGAGTGATAAAATTAATTTCATAGGGGCGTGTAGTTATAAATTGAATGCATCAAAGTTTTAGTTTAGGGTGCCCTCAAAGACACAGGCTGTCTCTAAACTGTCCACAGAGGAGTAATGAAGGTGGGTTTAAGGCTAGGAGAATGTGGCACACTCACTTCGTGACTGGTTCCAGCAAAGGAGGTAGGGTTCTTGATGCCCCTCAACCAGCTGCTGCAGCTCAAAGACACTGGTGGAGAGAGGAATGCAGTGGGGGGAGGGGAAAGTGAAGGGAGGAGTCCTCATCTGGTCAAACTGTTAAGGGTGGGTCCTTCACATAACTGTCCATACTTTGTCTTTCACTCACTTCCCATCTATTCCTTAGCCATAACCGATACACCTCAGATCCATCCTTCCTTTCTTCTTATATGAAATCACCCATTTTCCCACCAGCTTTCCTTCATTCAATAAACCGTATTTCTTTTATACACTATATTATATACCCTGCTGCTCTTAAGATCTCATGCTGACCCTCAAGTCTGTTCAGTGAAAATGAAAAACATAGAATAGCAAAGTGGAACCTGGTGAGGAGAGGCAATTCCATGTCTGAGAATTGTAGGAAGAAGCAGCATTGAGTGGGATATCTGGGTGACTCACCTGGAGATCAGGCGGTGCAATGGAACCCCCAGGGAAAGAGACAGAGATGGCCAGAAACCTGCGGGAAGCTGGAGTTACTATTCCCAGGCATGGGGAGAGGCTGGGAAACACTGGTTTTGAGACCAAAGGGTTGGGTCACCTGTCCACAATGGCTCCATCTGATTGGCTGAAGTGGGGTCAAGTACCTCTCCCCTCTGAAGGAAGTGCTTCAGGACCAGCTGAAGCCGGCTTTCATTCAAAGTCTCTATGACAAGGGCACGGACTGCCCGGTAGTTGGCATAGATGTGGAGAGTAGTGAGGAGGAAGAAACATCCAAGGCTGAGGCTGGGGCAACAGAGTGAAAAGGCCAATGGGGGTAGAGACCCAGTTGGGCATCTGCTCCCCAGTCTTGCTCCTGGCTTACCTAGGGCAATCTGACACCAGAGGAAGCATCAAGAGGCTGACCAGGAGCCCTGCTAGGTTCACCAGCGTCTCCTGGAAAATGGCAGAGGTGTCAGGAATTGGAAGGCTCCCATCCAGGCCAGACTTCCAGTTTTAAGTAACTTTCACTGCATGCCTTCCTACTCTGATGGGGGTACTGAGTAAATTGCTAACATTTTTGGTGAGAGAATCTGGACAGCTACTACTCTGCCCATGTACATTCAATACCCTTAGAACTGCCCTGGAACATGTCTTCTTTGTTTGCAAGTCATCCATACTTAGGCACTCCCTGCTGTGTGAAGAACTACTTTTAAATAGTCATTTTAAAAGGCAAATGACTCTCAAATCTCTTGGTATGCAATAACTGACAAATCTGCAAAAGGGTCAGGAAACCACACTGCAGGAAAGGAACAAAAGGGCCCAAACCTCTTCCCTTGTGAACTCATGTTATCAGAATATGCTGATGGCCAGATGGAGGATATCATATGTGAAAAGATCCCAGACTGCCTGACTCCAAATCATCATGAGGGAGGAGGAGGAGTCTGGATTGGTGTTCCTGACTAGCTGGGGTTCCAGGGAGAGTTGATCCTGGCACAAAGGTGTGCAGAAGCTGGAGGGCTCTTTTTATCTAGCCTTCCTGGTATGGTGTGGGCTGTGGAATGAAGGGTGTGCATGGGGGATCAGGGCCCTTAGAGTACAGGAACAGAGGAAGCTCCTCTTTTGTAGGCAAAATAGTCATTTCTAGTAGCTACATGGAGTGGCAACAAAACAACATCATCAGAAATCAGGGTCTGCTGTGGACCTACAACCTAGTGCATGTTGCCCGTGTGTATTACTGCCTCACTGAGGAAGCCCTGGAACCTTGGAAAAAAATTGCTTGGGATGAGGCAGGGCTGGGAGCCAGTGAGAGACCAGGTCAAGAAGCTGGGTGATCCTAAAGAGAAGGGCCCAGTATTTATTTTTTTCCACTTTTAACAACCTTGTAGAATTAGAACTGGAAGAGACCCTACAGAAGAACTAGTTCAACCATTTCTTGAGAGAAAGGACTTGCCTAGGGGCACTTACATGGATTGGACCTCTATATTCTTTACTTCCTCATCTGTACAATGGTCCTAATGAATATTTACTACAAAATAACACTAAGGATTTAAGGAGTTTTTAGAAAAGAATACTTGGCATGTGATTAGTGCTTTAAACATGTTAGTTTGTGTTAGTATTATTGAACAAAACAATATGGGAGAAGGCAGGAAAGTAGGACTGGAGGGAAAAGAAGTTGCTTCAGTGTCAAAGAAAACCACCTCACATCTCTGGAGCCTCCCTGGGCCTTATTTTTGTCATCTGTTAAGACAGGGATAATAATAGTATCTACCTTAGAGGGTGTTTGAGAGTTAAATGATACAGTGCACATGAGCACTGAGCTCAGGAGTTTGGGGAAAATCTAATACCTACAGGATTCAGTTTTAAGAATGTCCCTATCCCCCTTTTCCAGGCTTCATTGGTCAGGGCCTGCTAAACTGCTAAGTGGAGGTCTCTGGTTTGTGATCCTAACAGCCCCATGTTGAGTACATTTTGACTTGTCAAGTGTCTTTGTATGCTGGACCTCCTGTGATCAGAACATCCAGCTCCTGAGGTGGGATATGGCCTAGAAAGCAAGGGTAAGGGCTCACTCTTAGTCATAAAGGCAATGGGCAAGGGCTGAGATCAGTTTGGCTTTGTTGACACCAGAGTGGTGTCCTCAGACATGTGTGTGTGTGTGTGTGTGTGTGTGTGTTTGTGTGTGTATCCTGACAGTCACAGTAGGCAACACTTCCTTGGTGTCTTCCATCTGTTTCCTTCCCAGGGGCACTCAGGTACTTCTCTCCATACTCCCAACTTGTGCTCTGGTCTGACTTCTCCCCTGCCCTCCCCAGTCCCTCCAATCCTGGTTGCTTACCTGGCTGCTATCCTTGGCTGATACATCGGCCATGTTGTTTCTCCGAGCCTGGTGCACAGTCAGTGCAGCTCGAGTGGCCCCACCAGCCACACTCACAATGCACTGGGTGGGGAAAGGAAAGAATGAAGGTCACCCTTTCTGTGGGTAAACCAAGTAAATGACTCATACCAGTTTGAGAAAACAAGTCCTGAAGTGACTCCCCAGCAAAGCACTGAAGGCTGCCCTGGTATCCAGTTCTCACCCTGCACTCTTCCTAGGTACACCTTTCCTTTACTGTTCTAGGAGAAAACTAAAGTCCTGCCTGCCAATATCTCCGTGTGAACCTGGCCCCAGGAACCTCAATTTCCTTCTTCAAGAGAAGCTTAAAGATCATTCTTGGCTCAGATATTCAACTCCTACTTTGGCTACATCCTCCATCTTGCTAAGCAACCAAGATAAGTCTGGTTTCCAACTTTATGCCTGCCTGTAACATCTCAACTCTTTCTGTCCCAGTTAAGCCCTCTTTAGTCTTTCAGGATAATTCAAAACCTATACCGGAGGCCCTGACCTCTCATCACCTTCATTCACTTTATGTTTATATTCACTATATATTTAGCCCCTTTTAGATGCCAAACACACAGCAAATGTTCAATAGATTTTTTAATATATATATTTTTAGTTGTAGGTGGACACAATACCTTTATTTTATGTGGTGCTGAGGATAGAACCCAGTGCCTCACGTGTGCTAGGTGAGCACTTTACCACTGAGCCACAACCCCAGCCCTCAATAGATATTTTACTCAAAGAATGGAAAATGGCCAGGAAGCTTGACTCCAAATGTTGATAGAAGACTAGTACTTACCCTCAGCTTAGAGCTCCCTCACTAGTGGTTCTGAACCTGCCTTGGACTGATGACTGAGTAGGGCTATCTGGCTAGAGACAGATCAGAAAACTTGGCTGGGTCTGAGTAGAAATATCTTAACTTTCTATTCTTTTAGAAATACCTTGAGCACAAGCCCAGATGAGCCCACACAGAGCACTACTAAGGCAGATGGATCTTGGGCAAAGGGGTGCCCTAGAGGTGGATACCTTGGCCAGGTTGCTGGTGCTGACGGTCATGGTGAAACAGATTGGGTAAATGGGAGCCATAATCTCGAGGAACATGGCTAAATCGTTGAGAACGTCAGCAAAAAGCCTGGTGGAAGGATCAGAGGTTAGAAGTCAGAGACAAGAGACCTTCATAGTAGAAGATGACTCCTCCTCTCTGTCCCAGTCCCTTCCTCACCTCCACTGCTTTGCATTACAGTCCAGTTTGCCCCTGCAGGGAAGAAAATGTTGTTGCAATTTAGAATGAAGGAGAAAAAGAAGAAAAAACATCCTGTGGGCACTTTGGGGAGTCCTAGGCCATGACAGATCTAAAGAGTTCAAGGAAAACACATATCTCTAGCCACATTTGTCACTGCTGCCTAAAATGTGACCATTAAGTGGGAGAACCTTCAGGCAACTGTTTTCCCCTTACTAATCCATGACTTACCAAGGGAAAAATCTGTTTTGTGGCTGACCCCTAACCTTTGCCATCCTTTGAGTGAGGCTGTTCCTGGGTTCTTCACCTCTTTCCTTCCTTCTTCATTGAGGATATCCAGAAAAAAGTCCATATATTTTAAACTGGTAAACACTAAATTCAGTATAATTCTGCATGTTACTGATATCTGATACAAATTCTCTTGGATCACATCCACAGTGGGTGCAGATGGGAGAAAGGCCAAGAAAAGAGCTGGGGTCTAACATACATAGAGGATATTTCTGTTATATGACACCACAGATGGCTACCTCTTCTGTCCTTGTGTCCCTGGCCTGTGCATAAACACTTGGATACCGTTTCTCTAAAATCCCAGTGGCAGGAAATGCTGCAGCCCTCAGGCCAGTTCAGAATTTACAGCATTAGTCCCAAGCCTTAATTTGAAATCTCCTGGAGGAAAAGAGAGAGCATTCTTGGGTAGGGTATACAGCACATACAGGGTGGAACTTCTGAATATATGGGCCTGATTGGGGGTTCTGCCCAATAAACCAGTTGATACCATGGAAAGAGTACAAATTTGGGTTCAAATCCTATTTCACTAATACAGATCATATGGCTTAGGTAACAAGCCTCTTCTAGGCATGATTCACATCTTTAAAATGTACACATTCAATTATAAAGTTGTTATAAGGATTCAAGAAATATATACAGTGCTTATGGGACACAGTTGAGTCCTTATTATGTGCCATGCAATGTGCTTAGCACATTCAGACTATTGCATTGATCTTTGCAATCATCATTGAAGGTGACATTATTACTATCATGACTACCACAACTGGGGAGTATTGCTTTAGGTCTGCTGCCTAGGAAGAGAAACTCACCCCTTCCACCAGGCAAAGATGATACGGCCCAGCATGCCAGTTGAATCTGGGGGAGAAAGGCATTGGTAAGGAACAAGGAAGAGATTTAGGAGCTGCAGAGCCTGGCAGACTCTAGCATGGAACTGGCTAATTCACCCTGGGTCACACTGTCCTTAGGAGGTGCATGTAGTATGATAAGTTCTGAACAGACATAGCTGTCTGATGTGGTCAGAAGTGCCCAAGAGAACTATGTACACATATACACTGAAAGACACAGACAAGAAATATTCTTTGCAACATTGTTAAAAACAGCAAGAAACTGGGATACTGCAAATGCTCACTGAGAAAAGAATGTATAAATTCTGGTGTGTTCACTCAGTGGCATATAAATAATGCACAATGAACCCCAACTCCTCTCATCAACATAGATGAACACTAGTATTAAAATCTTGCATGAAGCCTAGATAGCACAAGATAATTTTTCAGAGAATTTTAAAACTAAAACCACATAGTGCTTAGGAATATATATCTATTTGGTAAAACTCTTTAAAAGATCTGTTTATGGATTGTCGTGATTGTTTTTGTGACACAATGATTGAACTGAGTGGCTATGACTACACACCCTGCAATGGGTAAATTATTTATCACCTGGCTCTTTATAGAAAATATTTTTAATTCAGGTCATATCTTATACTGAGATAGCACCCATTAAGCCCAGCAAGGGGATCACAAGGAAGGAATGTTTGAGAACCAGATAACTGGGAGGTACTCACATGGTGGGCATTGGAAAGGACAGGTAGGATAGGCAGAGAACTCCAATTTGCTTGAGCTTGAGGTGATAGACCCTCAAGAGAAGGATCCAGAGAGAAAGGAAACTAGGTTGTGGGAATGAAGGGTAGAAGCATCCTAAAATATACAAAGGTGGTGACATAGGCCAATGAAAACAGATGTGCAGTAACTTCTCTTCTTGGGCACTGAGGTCTTTTAATGGACATGCTTCACCAACTATGGACTTGAGGGAGACTGTTAAGCACTCTGGTGGACACCTGACATACCTACACCTATCAATTTTCACTCATCCTATAAACTTGGGAGGGATCATTCTCTTTCACAGACAAAGCCACTGAAGTTCAGAGAAGACTCATGAACAAAATTGGGATATCTTTATAAGATAAATTGAATTTCTAGCTTTTCTGGAAGACTTTGAGGACATGACTTATTTTCTGGAAGACTTTGAGGTCTTACTTCCCTTACTATCACAATCAGCTGGGGTTGAGCAGTGGCTACCTCATTCAGAGGATGCATGTATATAACCCATTCCCATCCAGTCTATTCTACTTCATTTCTGTCCCCTTTCTGACCCTGGAAGTAATACCCATCAAGATGGCTTTATAGGCTTCCTCTTTTCTGCCACTCACCTTATCCTCTTCCCTCAAGTACATTACATTCTAAATAAAATTCTCATTGTTCCATTTAAATTCTTATACTGGATCAACTTAGTGACTTAAAAAATGGCAAAACCACTTTTATTGGTTGAGAGGGAGGGGAGCCCACTGGGCCAGACTCCATTTATCTTTCCTTTGACTATACAGTCAACAAATTGTGTATTATCTTCCTCAGCCACTTAACACAAAGGGAGCCTACTCTACCTTTCTTTGAGGCAGTTTGCAGGGCACCCATCAGCACCTGCAGGTTGGCATAATAATAATACCTCCTTGCATTAATAATAATACCTCCCTTAATATGTGAAAGTCAATATTGTCCACCAGAAAAGGAAACTTAATTCCCACCTACTCTTCCTTATCTCACAATTAGCAGAGCTGTAAAATCTAGAAACGTCTGAGTCTAGTAGGAATCAGCTGTCTGCAAACTATATTTGACTCTACTCTAAAATACTAACTGGCACAGTATGATAGTGAAGAGTGGAACACAGGCATCAGTCAGCCTGGATCCAAATCCTGGCCCTAAGTGAACTTAGACAAGTTACTTAACTTTTATGTGCCTCAGTTTCTCCAACCTGAAAAATGAATAATGGTATCCAAGGCTGCTGCAGGGATTAAGACACATTTACATGTACGTGGGCAAAACACCTGGCTTGCAGTAGGCTGTCAAAGTATTAGCTTCTAGTAGTAGTACTATTACTAATTATAACAATTAACCTCATTGCATGAGGTTTGTAGCTGAAAATGTTCACATCAAAAAATTACAAGAGAGTTTCTTACATGATCCTCTGCATACAAATTTCTTATGTTTGATGGAAACAAACATAAAATCCTTGTAAAATCCTAATTAAGAGGGCTTCTTTTAACATTAAAACAGATTGTAAAATAAGTAGATATTTTTTTCATACCTTCAAATTGTCTTATTTTTTCTTAATAACTTATCTGAGTTGAAGACATACATAGGCAACATACTGAGGGATGAGACTGGGGTGCTAAGAAATGACATATAAAAAAACAACAACAACTACTGACCCAAATTCCAACTGCTTTCCAAAAACTGAGCCAACAGGAGAGTAATGGAAAATATTCAAATTCAGCAGGATATGGTAACATGAAAATAGACTCTGGAGGTAAATCACTTAGGTTCAAGTCCATGCCCTACCACTTGAACCTAAGTATTTAACTCCACTTAAATTGGATGTGAGCAATGAGTTTCTCATCTATAAAATGGGGATAATGGCTATATCTATGTCAGAGCTACTGTGAAAACCAAATCAGCATACAAAGACTGACAGTAAGCACTGTTAGCAGTAACTATCCTTGTTTTCATTAAACAAAGAGACAATCAGGACAATAAGCCAGATTACCATCACCTCTCCACTAGCATGCACTATCAGAGAAAGTTTTCCAGAGGTGACTCTAATCTGGACAGTTTGCTCAGCCTTATTAATAAGATATTAGCAGAAGCTTCCTGATTCTCCAAAAGATATAGAAAGGCTCACCAGAGGTGTGGTCAGACAGAAGCTAGGAGAGAATGCACTTCCCCTTAGATTTGATTTAAACATCCATTAGGAATAGAGGTGAGGGACAAAGGACAGTGGCCAATGTGTACTCCTGAAGAATGAGTGGTAGTTTCCCTTTTATTCTATACTTCACTTTGTAGGTGACACAGTACCAAACTATCTTTTTTTCCCCCTCAGTGATTTTTTTAAAAAATTGTACACACTCAGCAGATGGTCACTATAGTTACCACTTACAGTAGCATCTAGTATCTTAGAGGATACAGGATACTATTTATCCTTTCCAGAACCTTCTTTTACTCAGGACCAACTATATCCTTCTCCCCCCATGAACTAACCAATTTCCATAAAAAAAATCAATCCTAGGCGGTCGGTTTTATTTAAAAAATTACATTTTCATGCAAATCTCTACAGAGACTTGGTGTAAAGGGGAGGGGGCAGTTAATTTGGGGATTTGGGATCCAAATGATTTAGGGACTCTGCAGTTTGTATGGGCAACTAGTGCAGGGGCCGGGCTGGTGTAAGGGATGAAGGTATAAAACGCTGTTCTAAGCACTGGGGATACTTGGCTTTTGTATGCTACCTGCAGCATACACATGTCAGAGCCCAGAGTTGGAGGTCCAAACTCTGATCAAGTGGGAAAGCAGGGCTGGGTTTTGCAGTGGAGGAAAAGGAGGCCAAAGAAAAGGCATAGCTGAGAGCAACAGGTGAGGCTCCAGGGGTCCTGCTCACCTTTCACAAGCCAGGTGGCCGTGGCAGCTGAAACAGAGGCTTTTGCGTTCCCCACACCTATGCCCAGCAAGACTGCATGCGTGGCCAGGGAGCCGGACAGGCTGGAAGCAAAGGCCTGAGGAAGAAAAGAAGGGGAGTGAGAAGTGGTCGCAGGAGCAAGGCGGTCTACGTTCTATTATCGATTCTTCTTGGTGTATGGCCTAGTACATGTCATAGTTACTCTCTGGGATCCAGTCTCTCGTTTATTTATTTATTGGAATCAGGGATTGAACCCAGGCTTAACCAAATAGCCACATCCTCAGTCCTTTTTTATATTTTATTTAGAGACATGGGCTCGCTAAGTTGCTTAGGCTGGCTTCAACTCGCGATCTACTCTAGCCTCAGCGTCCAGAACTGCTGGGATTACAGGTGTGCGCCAAGGCTCGGCCAGTCTCCCGTTTATAAATGAGCAGGGAGGGAGGTGGCCTGCTCCGTTCCCTAACCTCCAGTCATATGCCAACATCTGCCCCGGACGGCTGGGCTGACCTGCACGGAGTCCCATATCTGGTAAGGCAGATAATCGGGGCTGACGCTATCGGGGAAGCCTTGAGGCAGGAAAACGGCCTGCAGACCCGACAGAGGGAGTAAAGCGGGCCCAGGAGACCCCTCTCCGTCCCCTTCACGTCCTCTGGGTTTCACCGCGAAGGCGGGGAACCTCCACCAGCGCCTTTCCTCCGCTTCCCATTGCAGGCTGCCGTCTGGGGCGGCGCGGCAGCCCCGTGCAGCTCCGGAGCCAAACTGTTCCGAGCACAGTGGGGTTTCAAGACTCGCCACGTCAGCCATCTCTACCCGCTTGGTTGGAATCTTGCTAGAAGACAGGCCAGGCGACACTTCCGGCTCGGCTACGGCGGCTGCGGAGAGGCAACATTCTTTCGCTAACTGGCGGCGGGCTTCTGCAACCCTACTTGAATACTGCAGGATTGATCCGGATTTTTTTTTTTTTTTTGGAGGGGGGGTGGTGTCGGAGGCGAGGTAGCAAATTGTATTTGGACACAGAAGCAATGGGAGCTTTTGGCCTTGAAAGACATTTTAATTCTTTGTGACCTGAACTTTCACTTATGGGGAAAAGGAAAGAAGTTATCTCTAGGGAAATGGTTTTAATCGTTAGTCTTTGTGGGGCTGCACAATTTTAGCTGTGTGGCTTTGGGTTAATCAGTGTCTCTCTCTCTCTCTCTCTGCATCTTGAAGGATGTACAGGCTTCAGATTCAAATCCCTTCCAATTGATCTCCTTTGCTATGAGGGTAAGGACAATATTCTCTCTCTCTCTCTCTCTCTCTCTCTCTCTCTCTCTCTTTTGTTGTCAGTTCTACCTAACTCACAGTAGATGCTAAAAGATACTTATGAATGAATGAATGCATGAAGAGAAGAAATTTCACAAGATGATCCCTGAGGCCCTATTGAGCCACTCAGTTGCCCTACTCTCTTCTGGTGTCCCTATGTAACTCAGGGAAAACCTAAATAAGCCCTTTAGCTTTACTTGCTTTTAGTTGTCCTTAAAAATAAAAAAAAAAATTTGGACGTCACAGTAGCTGAGCAATATATAATTAGTCTCCCACTAACTTTGCTGTAGATAACACTTTTAGACCTGTTGGTTATGATGATAACAGTTTTGCCTAGGTTATTCTCCAGGGACTTGAAGGCTGCTTTTGCTGAAGGCATTGACTCTTCACTTAGGCCTGCAGATATCCGACTGGCAACTAAAATAGGATGAAAAGGCTTGGCTTCTCTGCCTTCATACTGAATATCTCCTTGCTACCTTAACTTTTAGATTAGAATGTTTCTGCTCAACTCTGCATGTTGACATATTAATCATTTAAGAAATGTTTCATCTGAGCTGGGGATGTGGCTCAAGTGGTAACGCGCTCACCTGGCATGCGTGCGGCCCGGGTTCGATCCTCAGCACCACATACAGGCAAAGATGCTGTGTCCGCCAAATACTGAAAAATAAATATTAAAAAAGTTCTCTCTCTCTCTCCCTCTTTCTCATTCTCCCTCACTCTTTCTTAAAAAAAAAAAAAAGAAATGTTTTATCTGGAACAATAATACAAGATTGATTTTATCTAAATTTACCTAATCTTTCTCTTTGTCTTTGAGACTTAAGACACCAAGGTAAGAGTAACTAAGATAATGTTGGGTTCCAGGCCACTGGAGCAGCACCTAGAAGTCTTTAGTCATCAGTTTTTCTTGAACAATGCTCCCCTTGCCTTGCTTTTCTTCCCTAGAAAGCCTCTTTGCATACTTGAGTTCCGTAAGATGGTCTTGGTTAGAGATAGCCTCCCATTCTCTTGGGTTTGCTGGATTTCCAAATAAATCTCTTTCATTGTCCCAATAATTTGTCTTCAAGTCATTAGTCTTTTAGAGGGACTTTTCAAGTGAGTAGATGAACTTGCTTCAGTAACACCTAGACTTGACTAGAAATTCTCTGCCCTTCAGACATCCCTAAGACTAGGAGAATATTATTTCTGAAAGCCTCCTAAGGAGTTGAAGGGATGAAAAATATCAAGAGATTGCAACAATAGTGTCAGATAACAAGATAAACAGGACGTTTTTGTGTGTTCATTGGGGAGAAGGTCCATGAAATTGGGAGGAGAGTCCAAAGACAGAATATTTCTTTCCCTTCCAACTCATATTATATGCTCCCTTTTTTATCTTCTAATGCAGTGTCTTCTCCAAGAAGTAGAAATTTGCCAGGAGCATTCTCTTTGTTTTAAGTCAGAAAATAAAATATCCTGGTTCCTTAACCTGACATTCTTGGACTCCCCTCAATCCAGTTTGGTCCCAGTTAAAAATTCTCTCCCTAAAACTTCTGGTTCTCCCAAACTACCCCCTTCTCATGGAAACCTTTCTACCACATCTCACCTTATCTGACACCTACATAGAGTCTCTCTGAGGCTGAGATAAACCCAAGTACTTAATTTTTTTTTAAATTGAGTTTCCTGGTGAAAAATTGAAAGGTTATAAATACTTCATTAATTTTTAAATATTAATTTCTGTGAGTGTACCTAACTCTGAGAGCAACTTCTATGAATGAATTCCATCCAAAGGCCTTACCTTTGGATGGAATTCATTCATAGAAGGTTCTTTTCCACTATGGTTGTACCTGTGAGATCTTAGACAAGTTACTCATTTTCTGCTCTTTAGTTTCTTCATTTCTACATGGGAACAATATTAGTGCTTACAACATATGGTTAAGATGAGGATTAAGTGAGTCACATGTGTAAAGCTCTTGCACTGTATATGGCACAAAGGACATACTATTTAAGCATTAGCCATTGTTTAAGTGTTTCAATGTGAGGCTCTTAGCTTCATGTGAGGCAGGCCAAGTGACATTCATAATTAGTTTCATTGTATAATTTATTGTCTAATCGAGGACTTTTGAGAGTGTCATCAAAGAATTACTATTAGTAATTATGTTTATATAACAGGTCTAAAGTGGAGCTGTCCTGGGTTAACTGATATGGTCGCAATATTTATAGGATTTCTTCAGCTTTACTGACTATCAATGTCACATTGAACTATCCCTGCTCAGAGACCATGGCAGTCCTTATTCATTGTAATACCTGTTTGGCCCTTAAAATGCTGCCTTGAGCCACTTTGTATTTCATTTTATTAGTTATCTCTGTCATGTCCCAGGTGGACTTTAAGTCTTTGAGGACAAGGACTTATCATACACCTCCCCTGACCCAAGGGTGCAGATTAGTGACTTGAAAAAGAAATAATTTCACTTCCTTTACCTTTTGGTAGCCTGCCCCTAACTCCTGGCACCAAGTAGTATATTATGCCCTGGGAAGAATAGTCCAAACTCCTCATATTATTGGTTTTACTCTCATTGATCTCCCCAATTCTACTCCTGCCTATATATATATATATTCCAAAGACCTCATAACTTATAATTCCCTTGCTTAAAATCTTTCAGTGGCTTTTCATTATTTTTATGGAAGGAGATGGCTTTTCATTATTTTTATGGAAGGAGATTTCGGTATTGAAGCTCTTCAATGACTTTTCTTCACATTTGAAAATAAACCCAAACTTCTTTTGATGGCCCATAAAGCTTTGTAGATTGGGTCCTGCCTTATCTCTCACAGTTTGCCCCTTATAATTCATTCCTTCAAGTCCCCAACTAGAGGTAAGCTCCAAGAAGACAGGAACTTTATCTTTGGTGTCAATATATTTTGTTGCCTCATATCAGTGCCTGGCACAAGGTAGATGCCAAATATCTACTTGTGGAATGAATGAATGAATTTTTTCCCAATAATTCTTATAAAATAGACATATTATTATTTTATTCTTCCTTCACAGAATAAAATCTGACACATATATTTAAAGTGAATTCATCAACATCACAGAGCTGAAAAGTGGCAAAACCATTCATTTATTCATTCAACAAATATTTAGTGAACAGCTATTAATCTGCTAGGAAATGAAGCAGGATTCAAACCTGAAATGAACAATTTTTAAAATACCCTCCTTTACTTTCTTATATTACATTAATTTTAAGAATTAAAAAAATTTTTAAAGATTTTTTTAGATGTTGATGGACCTTTGTTTTATTAATTTATTTATATGTGCTGCTGAGGATTGAACCCAGTGCCTCACACATGCTAATCAAGTGCTCTACCACTGAGCCACAAACCCAGCCCCTAAAAAAACAGATAATTTTTTTGCTATAAAATAATTCAAATAATACTAAGAGGTAAGGTCAAATTCTCCCTTGCAAGAATTCCTCCTTCCATTTTCCCAGCCAATAACAGTCCCTCTCTAGAAGTTAACAGTCTATCATTATACACATAAATAATTTTGAAATTAATTCCTACTCCAGTATCCTGCCCTGGTTTAATTTATTCAAACTATAGTTCATTTAACATTGTCTTAAAGATATTTTATATTAGCACATATGTATCTACACTTTTTTATTTTATTTTTTATTTTGGGGGGGACAGGGGAATTGACCTCAAGGACACTTAATCACTAAGCCACACCCCCAGCCCTTTTTATTTTGGGACAGGGTCTCTCTAAATTGCTTAGGGCCTTAATAATTTGCTGAGTCTGGTCTCGAACTTGCAATCCTCCTGCCTCATCCTTCCAAGTCACTGGGATCACAGGCATGTGCCTTTGTCTGGCTTTCATTTATTTTATTAGCTCCACATCATGCCATAGTTTCTTTCAAGAGTCTCTCTATTGATAAAATTTTATATTATTTCTACCTTTTCATCTGTACAAACTTGGATGGCAAATTCCTTGTACAAGCATATCTATGTGTTATAAAAGTAGAGTCCAAGGTAGAATCCAAAGCAGAATCATTGGATTGAAACACATATGTATTTTAATTCAAAGAATTGTAAAATTATCCTTTAAAAAGTTTTACCAATTTATACTCCTTCTAAAAGTATATGAAGTTGCTTGTCATAATCAAGATGTTTGTGTGTGTGTGTGTAAAAAGGGCAATCAGCCACTTCTGCATTTTAATTCTCACACTTTATTCTGACTCCATGTAACCAAATTTGCTTTCTTCCATTACAGATTAATATTGCCTATTCTAGAACTGCATACAAATAGAATTATAGTGTGCTATATGTAGTTTTATAGCTGTCATCCTTGGACAGCATGTTTATGAGATTCATTCATATTATCATATTATCAAACATTAGTCTAATTCTTTTAAAAAATTGCTGAGGAGTATTCCATTGCATGAATATACTGCAATTTGTATAGCCATTCTTTGGTTTGTGATGTCCAATTTAGGTCAATGATGAATAAAGGTGCTATGAACACCTGCATTTGCATTTAAGAATTTTGTAGACATATATATTCATTTATCATGGATAAAATACCTATGAGGGTATTGCTGGGTCATGTGGTAAGTGTCATGTGTATCATGGATAAAATACCTATGAGGGTATTGCTGGGTCATGTGGTAAGTGAACTTTTTAAAGGAAATTGCCAAATGGGAATGGTGGTAACTATAAAAGAGTAACACAAAGGAGTTTTTTTTTTTTTTTTGGAGGGAGTGATGGAAATGCTCTGTATCTTATTATGGTAGTAATTATGTGAATTAATATGTGTGTTGAAATTAATGAACTAAACCAGAAGGCACGTGGTTTTGCTGTATGCTGTTTTTCAAAGTGATAGTACCATTTTACACTCCCAACAGTAATGTATGATAATTCTAAATTGTTCCACAACCTCACCAACACTTAGCCAGTCTTTTTAATTTTAGTCATTGAAAGGGGCATGAAGTGATAACACATTTTCCTGATGAGTAATGATACTGAACATCTTTTTCATTTGATTATTATCTTTTTGTATATTTTCTTTATGACATGTGTTCTAATATTTTGACTATTTGAAAGATTGGGTTATTTGTTTTATTATTGAACTGTCAGAATTTGTTATTGTTTCTATATATATGTGTTTTGTTAAGTTGTAGTGTAACTATTCCTCCTAGTGGTAAACATATTTTCTGCTCTAGATAAATGAAAACATATTCACACAAAAACTTGTACACAAATGTTTATAGAATTTCTATTCATATTTGCCAAAACTGCAAACAATTGAGATGTCCTTCAGTGACTGAATAAATAAATTGTGGTGCATCCATACAACGTACACTCAGCAATGAAAAAGAACTTATAGATACTTGTAACAATTTGGATGAACCTCAAAGTCATTATGCTAGGAGAAAGAAGTGGGTCTCAAAGGTTATTCATTTTTTATGATTGATTCCATTGACATGACATCTTTAAAAAGACTGAACTGTAGTGATGGAGGATAGTGATGGAGGATGTTTAGTTATTGCCAGGTTCAGGAGTGGAATGGAGGTGACTACAAAGTGAAGGAGTATCACAAAGAAGTTTCTTTGGGTGATGGAAATGTTCTATATCCTTATCGTGGTGACAGTGATGTGAATCTATATAAGTCTTAAAATTAATAAACTGCACACCAAAAAGAAGTCAATATTGTTAAATGTTTATCAAGAAAACACTGTAATCAAAAAGCAAATTAACAAGTCACTATGAATATATAAGTGTCTATGAATGTTGTTTTTTAAGAAATATTTATGCATTTATTTATTTATTAGTTTGTATGTGGTGCTGAGGATTGAACCCAGTGCCTCACACATGCTAGGCAAGCACTCTACCACTAAGCTACAACAGCAGCCCCTGAATGTTGGTGTTTGAGTGGCAAAAACTACAACAGGAAATACATACATCCTTAATGCTGGTTACTTCTGTGTGGACAGAAAAATGATCAAAATTTCCAGTGTACACATTTGTATTTCTTTGATTATTTTGATTAGTATGTAGTGATTTTGAAATTTGAAAATAATCTGTTAGAATGGAAAACATTAGGAAAAAAATTAAAAATAAGAAAAAGTATTTCTATTTCTGCTTTATTGAATACTTGATGATATGTCTGAGAACAAGATAAATACATCTCCATTTTTTTGTGGAACATATCCTGATCCACATCTCATCAGCAAAATATGTCTAAAAGGATCCTCAAAATAAAGATAAATAGTACATGTTTGAAATAGTGCCTGGCACAAATGAATAAATGTAATGTAGCTGTTATTAGTATGTCATCTATAGATAGCGAGAAGGATTGCCCTCACACTGTGTTGATGATGTAAAGGTGCTTGTCACGTAACAAGGGCTCAGTTAATGTTAGTTTCTTGAGTACTTGGATGGGATATTGGATATTGGGTTGAGGGGCGGAGGGCAAACATATGTTCCTGGTTTAGTTTTTGCAATTTTTGGGTCTCTTCGTTTATCTATTTTTCTTGGGCTGTCTATCTCTCTAACTTCAGGGAAGCCTCACCCTCCTTCTCCACCCTAGGCTGACCTATCACCCTCCCTCAGAACCTAGATATGTGGCGGTTTTCTTCTGAAGTGAACACTTGACTTCGTGCCTGCATCTAACTCAGCACAAAGGACATAGGGACTCTGTTAGACTTGAAGGTGAGTCCAACTTGGGAAAAATGTGACTTCAGAGCAGAGCAAGATTTGAAAAGTTTTGGAAAGAAGGTGTACCTGCAAAGCACCAGGGACCTTTAAAGGCAGTGAGAGAACTGAGGGAAATAACCAAGGGTGAGGGAAAGGGATATTTAAATTCTACCTCTTTCTCTATACAGGCAGATGGCCCATCTTCAGTCTAATAAGGATCTCATTTCTTCGGGAATGAAGGAATTTAATGTTCTGCTGAATCAGCAGGTAAGCCCAGGCACTGTTTCAAAGGACAGGCCTGAAGTACGTGTGTTGGGGTGAGGACAGAGAAGGGAGAATAATTTGAAACTTGAGGGTGATGGTGGTTAATGGAATGAACTAGAGAGAGGGAATATAAATCAGAGAAAAGAGACGTGAGAGTTTGTGAGACTGTTCTGGTATTCCTGAATCACATTGCTGACCACATTCTTCCTTGCTAACTCTCTCTCTCTCTACTTTCCCCAGGTCTTTAATGATCCTCTTATTTCTGAAGAAGACATGGTGACTGTGGTGGATGACTGGGTGAACTTCTATGTCAACTATTACAAGCAACATATGAAAGGGGAGCAGCAAGAGCAAGTCGGGGCTCTGCAGGAACTCCAGCAACAGTTGGACATTCTGGCAAAATCTTTTCTGGTTAAATATAAGGACTTCCTGAAATCCCATGACCACCCAAACCATAAGCTTCCTTCCTTCTAGCCCAGAGATCCAGGCCTTCATCTCCAAGAAGCCCTTAAATTCTGGCTTTGTAGATCATGTACTCAGGACGTGCTTCTTCATGATACCCCAATAAATACCAGTACTGGTTTTACTGGACTTCCTGGCTCTTTTTCCATTGTCTGGCCCTGGCTTATGAGGGCAGTTGGTTTCTTTTTCTTCAATCCTTCTTAGATATGATCTTGGAGACTTAATTTAGTAATAGAGGTTAGCAGGTTTAAGTAACCACTGGGCAGTACTAAAATAGGCTGAACTAAGGGCCAGGAAGGTAGGGACTAAAGAGAAAGTGCTGGGATGAAGTGGGTGGTAGAAAAAGGGAGATAAAAGCCTTCCAGAAATTATGGTCCAGTGATATGTTACTCTAGCAGAAAGCTGTTGCAAGTCTCCTTGGTTCAACCAGAGCCAGGTTTACTGCCACGATTATTCAATCACCTGCCCTTAGCTCCTACTTGAACAATATTCTAGGATTTTCTGATTCCAAGGCTACTACAGAATACCTTTGGGGGTACTCCCCGGAGTATCGCAGGAATTCAGAGTTAGAAAGGATATTGGGAACCATTCAATACGTCTGGTATATTTCAGATGGCCAAATCTTTACCCTTTGGCTCCACCATCCTTCAGACCCAGATCCCAGGACTGGGAAAAATCAGAAGCCAGCCTTTCCCACTTCTTAAGCCGTCTCTGTCACTTTCCTCCTTTCTCTCAGACCTCCTGACTCCTATTAGAGCTCTGGGGTGAAACCACAATTGGGTCAGGGTCATTACTTTTGAAAAACGAAATGAAAAAAAAAGTCACAAAACTATAAGTAAATAGATCAGTAAGGTACAGGGAAGGGAAGGGGGAGGAAGGATAGGAGGGAAAGGGAATTGGGAAGTACTGGGGACTGCATTAGAACAAGTTATATTCCATGCTTTTATTATTATGTCAAAATGAATCCTAATGTTGTGTATAATTAAAAAGAATAAAAACAAAACGAATACGAAATGAAGGTTTTAGATTGCAGCGCTAACTCGTCTGAAAGCCCCGAGGCCTTAGAGACTGCGCGGGGCAGAGGGGCGGGGCGAGGAGGTGGGTCACGTCAATCAGATCCCGCTTGGCGCCGCCTAGAGCTTTTCTGTGTTTCTTCTTGGGTGGGGAAAGTTTCAGGGCTGAGGCGTCGTTCCCCAGTTCCTGTCACTAGCAGGCTTTCTCAGATCTGTGCACCCCCATCTCTTTTTTTTTTTCTTCTCCTTTGCAGTTTGGTTTACCCTGAACCAGACCTCAGTTCAGTGTCCCTAGCCATTCTTCCAAAGTGTGGATGTGTGGAGGCTTCAGACTCTGCCAGAAAATGCTGGCCTCCAATGGAAAGAGGCTGCGAGCACCTCTGAGGTGGAGCCGGTGCCCTAGGCAGGGGCCAGTGCCTGTCTTCTGTACCCCTCAGAAAAATCTCAGTCTGTTAACTGGGACCTGGTGCTCACTCACTGGGACAGTAGTCAACATCCTCTCCTTTGGACTAGTGTGCATGAGTGGAAGAAAGTGATGGAGAAACTACATGAAAAAAGTTATTGGAGTTACACTGTTGCTGTGTGCAGTGTAGCTGAAAGGAATAGTTGGAAGCTACTTTGGTTCAATTCGCAAAGATGCTCTTAAATTTAGAACTATCTAACCTTGGGAACTATTTAGATGACCATTCCTCAAGTGTTCAAAGAAAGATAACCAATTAACAGGCATGTGGTAAGAAATACTTTAAAAAAATTATTATTTGAAAATATTTTGCTTGGGAATGAAATTTTGTATTTTATATTTCGTATAGTGACATAAGTATAAGTTTTGGTACAAAAGATTCTTACAGCGGGTGGAAAATTCAACATCTAACTCCATTTCAACCGTTTGTAAGCTGTGTGAATTGGAGACATTGCAAAAAAGTTTCTTTTTTGACAGAAAACCTTTTGATGACTCTGCGTATTCTAGCATTCATATTATTTGTCTATTTAGAAGTCTATTTAGAAGTAAAATTTGGAAAATTTTGTCTTTTCAGAAATGGTGGTATGAATCATCAGGATCTGGTGATCCATGAGAATAAAAATAAAGTTACTGAAGCAGTGAATACCCTCAATCCATTATTATTTCTGAAAAATTAACCAGAAATAGCAAAAAGGATAATGCTTATTTTGTTTGACAGCAGTGCCTGAATCAATTCTAGAAATAGGTGAATTATTACAGCCATAACCCTTCTTTATTCTTATTTTGATGTTGATTCTCACTTTAGGGCTGACCCTGAACTTGAACTCACTTTTAATTCTCCTTCAACTCTCACACCCTGCTTCCTACCTGCTCTTAACCCTGAACAGGATAGACACCTTACCCTCAATGATCCTGAACATGACAGACATTATTTTCAACCTCACACTGCTCCTCATGATGAACTAGACCCTAACTTTAATCCTGACTGTGATCCTGACACCTACCTGAATATTACCTTGACCTTTATCTCTGACCTTCATTATGTTCATGAGCATGACCCAGAACCTCACCCTAGCAAGGACACTGCAAATAACTCATCTTGATTCCAGAACCTGACTCTGATCATGAATCTTATGCTCAACATAGCGACACCATAAACCGAACATCAGCCTCATTCACCTTGTTGGTGATTTGAACTTTATCATGAACCTGACCCACACCCTGATACTTCCCTGACTCTCCCTCTCACCCAGTTACTGTTATGATTTGGATATAAGGTGTCCCCTGAAAAGCTCATATGTTAGGAAATGTAGGAATGTCTGTAATATCATCAGAAGATTAAACCACTTGCCGATTAATAATTTAAATGAGTTACTGGGATTGTAATTGTAGGTCAGTGGGATGTGGCTGGAGAAAGTAGGCCATTGGGGACATAGCCTTGGGGATTATATTTTGTCCCTGATATTTTTTTTTCTCTCTCTCTGCTTTCTGGCTGCTATGAGCTGGAAGCTTTCCTCTGCCACTTCCTTCCAGCCAAACATGGATGGAGACCCTCTGAAACTGCAAGTCCAAATACACTTTTCCTCCTCTAAGTTGTTCTTGTTTTAGTCACAGTGACAAAAATCTGATGAACACACTTACCTTTCACTCAGGCCCTCAACCTGACCCTGATACCAACTCATATGCTCACTCACTTTCATGGATGTCCCTTACACTGAACCTAATTCTAACTTTGACTTTAACACTTACCCTTCCAAAGAAAATCCACCAGACTATGACCCTGGCTATGACTCTTATCCTGGTTCTTACCCTTCTCCTTATTCTGACTTAACTGACCCTAACTCTGTTTTTTATACTCTTGTACCTCACTATGTTACAATCCTGATCCTAATCTGACCTTAACTCTGACTTACCCTGACCACAAACTCTGATTCTGACCACAAAGCTCATTTTAACCTTGATTCTAATTCTTATCCTCACCCTGACCTTGGAAACTGTATTACCCTGATTCTGACACTGAACACTATTATTTTAAAAAACTTATTTTTTATAACAAAAATTTAAAATATACAAAATATTTTGAAATATGTATACATTGTGGAATGGATAAATGAAGCTAACTACCATATGTATTACCTCACACATAATTTTTTTGTGGTATATTTAAAATCTACTCTCAGCAATTTCCAGAATACACTACATAGTTGTTAACTATAGTCATTATGATGCATATCATAAATCTCTTGAATTTATTCCTTTGGTCTAACTGGGATTTTATGTCCTTTGACCTACATCTCACCAATAACCACCCTCTCTCACCCAGATTCTGGTAACTAGCATTTTACTCTCTGCTTCTGTGAGTCTGAATTTTTTAGATTCCATGTATTAGTGAGATCATTTAGCATGCATCTTTCAGGGATGGGCTTATTTCACATAACATAATGTCTTCCGGGTTCATTGACATTGTTCCCAAAGGCAAGATTTCCTTTTTTTTTTTTTAAGGCTAAATAGTATTCTACTCTGTGTCAGAACCACATTTCCTTATACATTCAACCATTGATAGACAATTAAATAGATTTTATATGTTGACTATTGTGAATAATGCTGAAATGAACATGGGAATTCAGATATCTTTTCAGCATACAGATTTCATAATCTTTGGGTATATAGCCAGTAGTAGGATAGCTGGATCCTTTGTAGTTTGTTCAGTTTTTCCCCCCATCCAACTTAGAGTTTATTTCTTTTTTAAAAAAAATTTAAAAAATATCTACTTATTTTTTTACTTTTCGGCAGACACAGAATCTTTGTTTGTATGTGGTGCTGAGGATCGAACCCGGGACGCACGCGTGCCAGGCCAGCGTGCTACCACTTGAGCCACATCCCCAGCCTCTAGAGTTTATTTCTTGTTATCCTTCTTAGCATGTAGTTTTCTTTCCCAAGATTGTTTTTTTCTTTGCTGCCCTGGTTCACATTATAAATTAATTCACAAATATAGAATTGTGCTAGAAACAATATTCATAAAAGTTCATATGCTTGCTTACATACAAAATTATCCATAAAAATGGCTTTCTGTACACAGAGTAAGAGAGTAGGTAGTCTCTTGTTGTCTTTCTGCATAATGGTTAAAAAGTAATGGTGGCATGATCTTTACCTCATAAGCTAATAATTTTTCCTACTTGCTCTATTTCAAAATAACAGTTTAAAAAATATTGTATCTTAAAGAATACTCAGAAAAAAAGTTTTTTTTTAATAATGTGCATGTAGTCCTGTTTCTAGAAAATTTCAAACCCCAGAGTAAAACTCAAAAAACACGACAGAAAGGCAACTCATTAATGGAACGCTGTTCCTGTGAATCCAACAACCATTCATTTTTGATTAGCACTTTTAAAATAATTTGCTATTCAACAAATAATGACCAAGTGTTTGCCATGTTATGTACCAGGTCTCTGCTGGGTGTAAGAGGGAATGTCAGAGTTATGCAAGGCAAGATGCCTCTGAGAAGTGAAAGGGGATGCTAAGATACATAAAATCATTAGTTTTAAAGATTTTGACCACAAATGGTTTATCATATTAAAAACTATAAAATTCCACTTTAAAATTATTTTTAATAAAGTTCTGACAATACTTTCTTAGGCAAAGAAACACCCAGGACAGGA